ATTAATTTATCTCTCAACAAACACTCTGTCCCTGTGTTCCAGAATCTAGGTGCATGTTAACTCCCTATTTTTCCACTTCTCTCTTCCCAAAATAGGACAAGATGGCCAAGAGTTTTCTTCTTTCTGTTGACTCCATATGTACTCTCTGTGTCCTTCTTGCAAATCTGGTAACATTCCAGTATGGGAAAGAAACAGAAGTGTAGTACATTTGTAGAGAGGTGGATAAAGGCTTTCTCCAGCCAAAGCAAGAACTAAGGAATCAAGCACATTCCAACATGAGCCCAAACAGTGAAGACAAGATTTTTTCCAAGTACCTTAACCCAGCTGGGTCACCTTCCTCCAGGGCCCTGTGCTCAACACGGTGCACTAGTCTGTGTACCCAGTATTAAACTGTGTACCCACTATCAAACAATGTAAATGTGCAATAATTGTGAGCATGTGCTAGCTCACCTAATACCCTAATTCTTATTTTCTTGTTTCCTAGGTTCAGCGTCCAAATCAGAGGTAAGTACTCATGTATGTGTGCTAGCTCACCTAATACCCTAATTCTTATTTTCTTGTTTCCTAGGTTCAGTGTGGCTGCACTGTATAATGGGGCCCCTGCTGTAACTCCACGTCCAAATCAGAGGTAAGTATTCATGCATAACAATAAATAGTTTGGAGTAGCATGTATTTATCAGCATCACATATTTGTGTTTTAATGTCAGCCTCCTTACCTGAGTTTTTGTTTAAATCTTACAGCAGCAGATACAGATGCAGAAATAAAATGTAGGCCCTTCAGGGCTCAGAGACTTTCGGAGAGAAGCAGAAAACCACAGAGAGCTTTCTTCCAATTTTTAACTGTGCAAATCATTCCTACTCAAAGATTTTGCTGCAAAGTAGTTCTCTAGCAGACTTATTTTTGATACAGTTTGTGATTAACAAAATTCCAAGTACAGCTTTTTAAGAGTAAAGCTCAAATAGTGGCAAAGAAATCAAAGTATATACCTTTATACTACCAAGGCAGATACAAAGCTTTTTGTATAATTGGACAAAAAAATGCCAAGCATATTCCTTCAGAAAACAAAACATACCTGCTGAAATTCCAAATGGAGCCTGTTTGGGGACAAAGAATCTTATTCATTAATTAACTACATTGTTAACACTTTTGCCCAAGACACAATGCCTGTGCTACTTCAGAGAGAAGGATTTATGCCCTATAGTCACTGTACTAGATGGAACCATAGGAAAATCAAGGTCATCTGAAAGAAAACTCAACTCATTGTACAGCTAAAATATGCACTAGAAGGGAGATTTTGATTTCCACAGTTGACATACTCAAGAGGTAGAATACAAAAGGTGAGGCAGCAGGCACTTGATATACCAAGGGGAAGCAGCCAAGATGCTCTGTGCAGCACAGAAGCTAATGAGATGAGCAGGCTAAAGGTGCCTCCAGAGAAGGACCTGTGAGTGCTCAGGGGCAGCTCAGGTTTGGGCAGGCACTGAGCTGTGCAGATGGGGAAAGACAGGAGAGGAACTTGCCAGGAATGAGCAACACGATGTACTGCTGAACACAGTTTGGCGAGGGACTGTGCAGGGCACAGGAACATTTGTAGTGGTAATTAGGGGGAATCTGTAGCATGGTCTGTGCTGATTAATTGTTGTAAGCTTTCCTTTAAGCTAATTGCTGATGGTGAAGATTGTGACATTACATCTTAAATAATAAAGCTCAAAAAATTATTAAGTATGTAGCAAGACACTGGTACAGGCTGCCCAAAGAAGCTGTGGCTGCCCCATCCCTGGAAGTGTCCAAGGCCAGGTTGGACAGGGCTTGGAGCAACCTGGGATAGTGGAAGGTGCCCCTGTTATGGTGGAACTGGATAAGCTTTAAGGTCCCTTCCAATCCAAACCATTCTGGGATTCTATGATGAATGCTACACCAAGAAAAGCAACAAAATAAAATCGGTGAATTTAATCCTGCTGTTGTTCAAAGTAATAGGTCTGTCCGGATAGACATGTATTAACAAAACTGCCTCTTCCTGACACTTCCTAATTAAGTGATTGATGTCAGGATCAAAGGGTTTAATTTGAGCATGGCACTACCTTTCATATTTTCTCTCCAGCTAAATCAAAGTGGCCTTGTCACTTCTGTATCAGGTCCTGGATACCAAACATCATTTTATGTTAAACTAGTTATTTCTCTGAAGTTTCTGAAGCAAGGTGGATTGGTTGTAACAATTTGCAATTTAAACTGTTCCTTCAGCAGTCCTCTTGCCTACACTAACCTCCTTCCCTTCCTCTAAGCAGATTTGTAGCTCTAAGTCACTGATGTCTGTTAACTCTGAAAGGGGCAGTGCAGGAAACAAACTAAATAAGAAGTACATACCATTAAAGGATTTCCAAGTGCATCGCATGGTTTTCTTGAGCATTCTGTTCCTCGGGGAAAGGCTTATTTCATTCCAGCCTGTTGATGGAGTTGCACAGTGAGGCAGAGTGGCAGGGCTCTGGGATCTGTGTCATTACACACCTTCACACATGCCAAGTGGGCGCTGCTTACGCTGCGTGGTAGAAGACAGGTCATTCTCCCCCACTGTGCAATCCCATTACGGTCTGACTGTCACTCCATCCTTCCTTATGGAAAGCAGCCAGCATGATGTTACAAGAGTAGGTTACAGACTGATACTGCCAAGCTCATGAGGAGCAAAGGCATGTGCAGGTCGGTGTGCACACGCACGTTACCTGCAGAACCAGGGCTGGAATGGATGCCCAGTTATTCAGCATCCATGAGGTGAGGTTGTTTCAGACACAGTGCTCCCTCTGCTGTGTGATGCACGTGGCACGTCACAAGTAGGTTAGGAGGTTTCATTTCAGAAAGATTGGAATTCATAACAATTAGGAAGAAACCTCTGTGCCTCCTTCCACGCTCAGTAAATGCACAAAATCTCTAATCTTTTATCAGTGCTGCCTCAGTGCATCTGGAATTTGGGACAGTGGCTCACCATCACTGCAGAACATGACACATACCTATAAAGGACTAACTTCCAAGGCAGACTATCATCATACTCTGATCCTCTTGGAATTTTAGTATAGGATAGATTTCTGTGTTTTCTAGGCACCTTGGTACAATTTCCAGGTACCTTGGTACACATTATTCAACGAGGATTTTTTTTTTAAAGTTTCTATTTATGTTTTCCATTGTCCATTATTTTCTGTTACAGTACTCCCAAGTTATTTCCTTATTCCTTTATTTGTTGTGTTGTAAAGTTGTCATCCTGCCTTCTATTTAGTCAGTTGTGTAAAGTCATTCCATTTCTTTATGGAAGTCAGAGAAGTGCAATGACAGGAGCCTCCCATCACATACTGCCACATGTGCCTGCTCCTTCCAGAAAATATCTCAGTGAAACCACACAGCACAGAAATCTAAAAGAAGTAAAAATCATATGGGAACAGGAAAAAAGGGCACGATACCATTAAGAGTGTGGTCCGAGACTCACTTAAGGATCTTTGTGGCTATCTGGAAAAGACCAGAGCAGTAAAGCTGTAAACAGAGACATTATTTGTGTTTTATGAAAGCTGCTTTCAGGGGAAAAAAAAAAATCTGCATTTTTGCTAAGAATTTTGGATTGTATCTGAGAAACATCTGACTCCACTGCCAATTTCTCCTTCTAAGTGTTTCACTGCAGAAGATGTTAAGTAATGACTCAGTCCTGGGAGTTAGCTGTGTTTAGCCTGGTACACTGAACTCCCTGCATGAAACTGTGCTTGCTGCTGGACAGAAAGTGTTGGTCAATAATGGCTTAACCTCACTGCCATCCGCTCCGAGGTGCCTCTAGCACAGAAGAATTAGACTCATTTTGCCCTGAATACTCAACTTACTAAATTTTGATGGCTCTGAAAAAGGGTGCAGCATGCAGAATTAGAAAAAAAGTCGCTGTTCTTCAGAAATACACCAAATGACACGGGCAGCAGTTTTCTACCTGTCTCATATTGATCTGTATTTCCCTAGAAAATGAAGGTGGTTTTGTGACAGACTGAGGAGCAGGTCACCAGTACCCAGCATTTATTAGACTCATCATTTTGAAATGCTGCAGGAATGACAGCAGCCATCCCTAATAATCCTCAAATAGAGTATCACGTGCATACCAAATACTCGAGTAATGCTACTACTCAGAGGATAGGGGCTATTGAAACAGAACACAACAATCCCTGAAAAATACGAGCGTTGTTTTGCCCTGCCCACGTTTACTCCGGAACTCACCCTCCCCCGGGAGCTCAGGGTGAACTTTCAATCCTGAAAGGCTAAATCTGGAGGAGCCACCCACACATGAACTAGATTGAGCTGGAGCTTCAGCCAGGCCAGTCAGGCCTAAATTTGCTGAGAGAACCTGTCCTTCCTTTCCGTGGCCATGGTGGGTGCCCTTCCAGCAAACACGAACGCTGCCAACCCCCTCGCAGCACCAGAGCCCGCTCGTGTGCCTGAGCTCTGGGTCCGCCTCGCCGCCTTCCTGTGGAGATGCACGTTAATCTTGCTGACTTGGCTTGTAAAGAGCAGATAAATTGACCTATTATTTAAATGGCAAAATCTTTTCTGCTCTAAATGACCCTCCCACCCTCAGTCGCTGCGGAAGCATCGCACCAGATGGCCCTTTGTCTGGCACCAGGGAGATGTTGGAACTCTGGTGCGGCTCAGGGCTGTGGTTCCGAGCAGCCATTTACAGTGCCCGGGGTTGGTGTGATCTCCTGGAAATTTCCGCAGAGCTCACACAAGGCAACACCTTTGCCAGGATCACAGCGTGGTCACCCAGGGGCTACAAACAGCCTTTTATCCTCCAAGGCTCCTTCAGTTTCCCCAGCGCTTCAGCTGTGCGGCCGAAACCAGCCTGTATTCGAAGCGGGGGTGTTTGCACGGAAGCGAACCCGAGAGGCCGAAGCGTTCCGGCTTCGCTGTGGGCGGGGCTGGCTGGGAGCCAACGCCCCCTGGCGGCCGCTGCCCCGGCAGTCTCGCGAGACCCGGCGCGCCGTGCGCGCGGGGCGGGGTGCCGCTGGGCGGGGAGGCGCCATCTTGTTCCTGTGCGAGGCGGCGGGGCCGGGCCGGGCCGCGCTGAGGGAGCGCCCGGGGCAGCGCCCGCCGCCACCGCGGGGCCCGGCATGGACACCCACTACTACGGCGGGGAGCAGTCAGGTAGCGGCGCGGCGCGCAGGACCCTCCCGGGAGGGCGTCGGGCACGGCGGGGCCCGCGGGTTCGGGGGCACAGCGGCGGGGCCCTGGCCTGAGGGCAGCAGTGAGGGCGTTAATTGCTTCAGCCGTCCGGTGCCGGGGCACTGCAGCGGTCGCTGCCCACTTGCTAAAGGAGCTTTTGTGCAGTCCCGCCGGTGTCTGGGGTGGTTTGTTCGGACAGCCCCGTTTCCCTGCCCCGTTAGAGCGGGAGCCCGCCCGGTTCCCGTGCGGTTCCTTTAAACGCTGAGTTTTACTTTCTTTTTTAAATCTCGGAATAGATGATGGAGGAGCTACTCCAGTGCAAGACGAGCGAGACTCAGGATCTGATGTGGAAGATGAAGGAAACGAGCAACATTCTGGATCGGAGAATGGGAGTGTAGGGCACCATTCAGAGGTACTAAGGGAGTTTATCTAGATAAAGTTGACTCTTCTCTGAATTCTTTTTTGTTGTTGTTTAAAGTGGCATTCTCTCATAACCAAGACGTACGTGTTTATTCAGTTCCTCATAAGGGTTCCATGGAGCAAAACTTTTATTTCCATAAAAAAGCGTTGGATAGACTCGTGACAAGTACGTTGGCCAGGGTTTGCTTGGTTTTTTCCTTGTTATGAGAGCACACACTGTTCTGAACTTGAATAAGTTGTACTCGGTTAACCTCGGTTTCCAAAGATAAAATGTTGGGGTCATGAGGAATTTGTACCTGAAGTTCTGCAGTGTTGTGAAACCACACGCTTTGGAGGTGGTGATTTCCTTGAAACACAATAAATGCTCTCCCAGCTTCCATGTCAGCTGGGGACACTGACCCTTGAGTCTGCTTTGTGCTGGTTTTCACCTTGTCACTGACAAAGGAGCAGGTGTGCATGCGGAGCACGTTAAGGGTCCTAAGTGGGATTGGTTTTCCTCTGAAGTGGTTCTCACTTGGAGAAGTGTTCAGCATGGAAAGGCTTTGGTCCAGGGTTGTTTCTGGGCTGGAGCGGCTTCATTTGTGGATTGACTAGGCTGAGAAGAGATTCTGGTAAAAGAGAAGGCTCCCTTTAGACTTCTAGGACAGTTTGGGAAGTTGAGATTTAGTTTTTAAGATTTGTTTGTGACTTACAATAGAGCTACATCAGGTCTTGGTCAGAAGGGGTAATTTTGGCCTGTGAATTTAGGTCTTCTGTCAACAAAGTTACAGAGAACTTTTTGATACTTATAAAAATTGTAGTCAAAGCCATTTCATAGTGTTCTGTGTGTTCTGCTTTGTGTAAAGATCAGGATTTACTCTGATTGGGTTTTCAGTGTTACACGTTTTAGAAATTGCTTAAAATGCGACAAAGGCTGATGTGAGAGAAGGCTTGACCCCACTGTGGCATAACTTACAATCCTTATTTTTTTCCCCTTTCTTTTCCCCTGCCTTTATTGAATTCATATTTCGCTCAGAGTTAGAAAGTAGATGAAGATTGTATTTTTATAAAATGAAAGTTCTTCCCATGTGTTTGAACTTAATTGTAAAGCACATTTGGAATTTACTTTTTTTGATAGGTGTTGATATGTCCAAGGGAAGAAATAGATTTGGTGAGAGGCAGCATCTCCCATTGTGACAATGGCAATTTGAGTGTGGCAGGAAACACACTTCTCAGGCTGGGAAAAACAACTGTCTGTCTGGAGGAATTGAGTACTTCTGTTTTCTGAAGGAAAGTGTGATGCGTGTGTGAAGAATACAATAATATTAATCTTTTTCTTCTGTGTCACTGGTTTATGCTTGAATATTGCTTCTTTTCTATACTTCTCTGAGATTTTCATTATACTTCCTGGGGCAAGGTAGTTGACTGTTGTTTACATCTGCAGCATTTCTTCACATTTAGGTGAGCAGAAAGTACCAATTGTCCTTGTTAACTGCTCCTCTTCATGTGCTGTATTATTTTAAAGACTTTGTTCTGTGGTGGTGGTTGAATATTCCTCTATAGATAAAATACTTGATAAAGTCAATTGAGATAGAAGAGTCAAGCTAAGCCACCTTTTTGACCAATCCTAAATGAGAGTTGTCAAGCCTTAATGCTTTATTTGATTCAGCTCAAATCAAAATTCAATTATTTTGTTTTGCTATGAAGTCTTAATTTTTCTTTCCCTCTGTTGAGTTCACTTTGCATTCAAAAGGCAATAAGGTGAAGCAGCCATCTCTGAAAGGAGTAGCTTTCAGTCATTTGTCATATTATTTACTCCAAATAGTCTCTCATCCTCTTCTTCATCTTCAGGAGTGTGTGGGAGAAATGACACTCAAAGCTAATAAAACCTTTTTAGACAGCCTAATCAGTTAAGTCTGTTTAATTACTATTTTGTCTCTAATTTAGAACTCAGATGTAAAGAACTGAAGTTTTAAAATGTTAAACTTTTCTTTCAGGTTTTTAACTTTAAAGAAAAGGGGAATCCTGAGGAATTACTTATGTAGGTCTCAGGTATGTGGGTTTTTCTTTTCCACAATTCTTTTCTGGCTTTCCTTCCCCCGATCCCACTTTATCTATAAATGTTCTCCTTGATGTCCTTACTGATTCTGCTTTAGCCAATTAGAATTAGTTTTAGTACAGTAATGAATCTGAAATCATGTTTACAGTGTTTGTCCAAGTCAGGCTCTTACAGAAATCTGTAATAACTTCGTTTTTACACTTCCACCAAGTTGCTGCTGTTTCATGAATTAAGTTGTGACTATACTGTGACTGTTAACAAACACAAATATGTGACACTTAGGAAAAAAAGGAGGAACTTGCCAATCTGCCCATGATGGTTGTGTAGGTCTTAGTTTAACACTCATCTTTCATGAAATTGTAGTGGATGGGTTCCATTTTGTTGAAGTTACTAAATTATCAAAGAAGTAGCTCTTAAAAGTGGCTGCATGTTGATCCAATAAACTGCTTGGTAGCTGTAATTTTTATGTAGAAGTGTAACACTGTAAATTTGATTTTGATATATTCCTTATTTTATACTGTACTAAAGCCTCATGTTCTAGAACTCTTTCATTAAACAAAAATTAAGGACATCTCAAAATGTTTATAGATAAAGAGGAGGAAGAAAAGAAAGCAAAGGAATTAGAGAAAAATGCAGTAGCAATTACCTGAGACCTACTCTGTTTTGAGGATGTCTGATCTTTCAGTCAATCATTTGGAAAATGAAAACTAGAAAACTCAAAAATTACAAACTTCATTTTGTTGAAAACAGTTTTGTAGAGATGAAAAATAAAAAAGGGAAAGTGAAGACTATCAAGCATACCCAGCAGCATTTTGTCACTTTTTATATCAATTTTATTCCAAAAGATGCAGATTCATTAATTGTGCACAGCAGCCTCTTGGCTGCGGGGTGTGGGCAGGCCCTGCCCCGTGCAGGGTCTTGGCTCTGCTGCAGAAGGTGCTTTGTGGTGCTGCCTGGGGCAGCGCTGCTCTCACTGACACAGCGCTGCCAGGCTCAGGGAGGTGCTGCCCGTGTGCCCGAGTGCCGCTTCTCCAGCGAGTGCTGCTTCTCCAGTGGCCACACTGCAGCAGTTGAGCTGCTGTGACCACTGGGTCAGTCTGACTGCTGTGTCTGCTCTCCCTCACCCAACATCCTCGTTCTCAGGGGTGATTGTCGGTTTGCAGTGACAGATTAAAGATCTGAGATCTTGCAATAATCTTCAGTAATAATGCTCTGTAATTACAGTGTCTTCTCACCAAGGTTTTGCATAAGAAGTTCTTTGTAATTTAGTGATTCATTCTGAACAGGTGCATATGTAACCTGCAGCCACACTTCTGACCTTAGAAATATGAAGAGTCATTACTGATTCTTATTGGATCTTAATTTTGTTTATTTATTCACCAAAGAATTCCTGAACTGGAAGCTGGGAATGTGATGGTCCTAATATCTTAAAGAGGACTATTTTTATTAATTTCCTTGTGTTTGTTTAGCAAAATCCTTTATTACTGCTGACATAATTACCAGTACTATTCAGCATTCACCACCTGACATTGAGAGAATACAGACAAACCCACACAAAATAAAATGGTAGAAAAACAAGAATTAAATAATGTTTGTTACTGTAGATACCAGTTTGATTTCAGTGTTTCTCAATTACTTTACCTGTAACTGCTGTGGAATCTGCTTTCTGTTCTGTTTGCAGCTGCAGTTTTCTTTAGTCTAAAGTAAGACAGTCAGGGAAGATCTGTCACATACACCTGTGATTGGTTTATGTGGGACAAACTAGGCAGGAGAAGGGCAATCAAAGTGATTTTTTTTGGTAAGAGAATAAAATATTTACTAGCTGAGAGCAGTTGAGTACATCCTCAATTCTGCCACTTCCTAACACTAATATATTCTTTAAAATTCCAGGTTCAGGTTTTAACGGAAACATGTTTCCTTTCTGTAAGGAGAAATGAGAATTGCTGGATACGAAAGATTCAAAAGATACATCACTGTAGAGACAGGAACGAGCAGCAGAGAGAAAACAACTTAGATTGTCACAGCAGCTGTTTGTAGTTAGCATTAAATAACATGGAAATAGTGAAGTAGTATTTGAAGTGCATGTTTTAACATTTCATGGTCCTGGGGTTTTTTTCATTGTTAAGTAACTTTGTTAGTCATTCTGCAATAATTTAGAAGATCTTTATCAAGTGCTAGCCAAAGGAATAAGTATGTAAGGTCCAAAGTCTTCAAAAGCAATGCTCTTTGCCACCTAGAATAATCATGGAGGTAGTAGTTCCTAAAAGCAATTGAAGTAAATTTTATTTGAAATTCTTCCTGCATCATGCATTTTAAAGAGGAATAGTATTCTCTGTTGTAGGTGTAGGATAGCTACACCTACTTTTTTTAATGGCTCTGAATGTGGGAGTAGAACAACTACAGAAAATAAAAATAGCTAGAAAGTCTGTTTCCAAGGAAATTAAATTGCAGGAAATAGGTCTTAAAGCATTTCCTGTCACAATGAATACTCTATTTGCAGGTAGAAAAAGTCTATAGCTGAGACAAAATGACTGAGGCTTTGAATTGAGTGTGTGAAAGAGAAGTTCCTTGTACAATGTTGTTGTTTTCAGCTGAAAACAGGATTATGGTGACAGTAGCTGTGAGAGCTGAATTAATGGCATGAGTTTTCAAGTCTAATTTCATATTCTCAGGTAAATGCAATTGAGATTTTTTTTCAATAGATTTTAGATGTTGGAAAGATAAAAGATGATGCTGTAAGTAATTGCACTAAGTAAGGTGGTTTGTGAGATGTTCTCTTAAAAATAGAGCATTTGCCTCAGCATTTTTTGGTGTGTAGAAAAGTCAAAGGATTGTTTCAGTTCTGAAGTTGCCCGATGGGTGTGTGTGCATGGGTTATCTTGGGTGTCTGGATAAGCATGGAAGCTCTCAGCACAGGGGAGAGAGTTGTTGAATCTGAAACACAAAGCTGGTTAACAGTATTACTCTGAAAGGTCTGACTAAAACTTTGTTCTTGTTTTTTGCTGGACTTTTGGTCTTGAGTTGTTCTTGAATAGGTTTCCCTGACAAAGAAGGAACAGGCGCTAGCTTCATTGGAAGCATACTGCATGTGCTGTTTCAGTGAGATGTATTTCACACAGGAAACATCTGTTTGAGATCTTCAGGAAAATAAAATTACAAATGCAAGATACTCTTTCTTGCTTTGTTACTGGGAATTTGAAGTAAACCACTTTGAAGTCCTGACCTATTAAAAGTACTAAGCCTTTACCCTTGAGCAACTGGACGGTTCTTAGGCATGCTTATTTAAGTGTTCTATGAATTCTCTTACTGTTTTCCAAGTACCATGGAGCTGCAGGATGGACATACTTCCATTGATAATAGTGTTGTTGATGTGAAGTATTTGATAGTCTTCTGATGCAAATTGTCTAATTATTTCCATAGACATTATTTCAGTTTGCAGCACCTTGGGTAATCAAATTGGAGGAAGGACAAGCAAAAATTCAGAACATTTTTTCTTTACTTTTTAAGATGTTTTTGCTTAGTTGTCTGAGATTATTCTTCTGTTTCAGAATGAACACAGTGATGGAGAAGATGATGGGCAAGTGGGAGAGCCTCATATGACAGACTCTGAAAATGAAGATAACCCAAGGCAAAAAGAAAGTGACTCAGATAATGAGGAGCCCCCAAATCACAATGTGAGTGATTCAGAAAATGAAGCAACTCATGGAGAGAAAGACAGTGACTCTGATACTGAGGACCGTCCAAACCGGCATTTAAGTGACTCTGAAAATGAAGAGGCCTTAAATCATCGAGCGAGTGACTCTGACAATGGAGAACCTCCAAGGGATCACAGCAGTGATTTTGAAAATGAGGAATCACACAAGCAGCCAGCCAGTGACTCCGAGAGCGAGGAGCTCCAGAAGCAGCCGGCCAGCGACTCCGAGAGTGAAGAGCTCCAGAAGCAGCCAGCCAGTGACTCCGAGAGTGAAGAGCCTCAGAAGCAGCCAGCCAGCGACTCCGAGAGCGAGGATGTGTCCAGACACAAGCAGATAGAGTCTGAAGATAGCGATGGGGAGGACAGGAAGGAAAAGGTGCAGAATGACTCTCATCATTCAGATAATGAACATGTAAGGAAAGGATTTCAGGGCTCTGACAGTGAAGACGAAGCTCCTAAGAGACGTAAAATATCAGACAGTGATGAAGATGAAAAAGAGGAAGAAAAGACAGTGAAGAGGAAAACAGCCATCCTTTCTGATAGTGAGGATGACAGTGAGAAAACACGTAAGAAACTATACTGTGAAAACGTGCTGTGACAGGCAGTGGTGTGGAAGTGAAATCATTGCTTTTGTGTGAATAAAGCATCTTAAGTGAGAAGCCATAAATCGGATTTAGTTGTGGAGCAGAACTGCATTTGTGGAAGCTCTTGTTCTGACTGCTTTGCTGTGTGAATGTGTATCTAATGCTTCTGAGTAATAAGTAGGTCTAACAGAAGACTGTAAGGATCTAAGTGGCACCTGTTGACATGGTAGTTTGTTATTTATTTACTTCATTGCTGCTTCTCTAGTAATTTTTTCCTGTGCGTTTTTTTCATATACTGGAGGTGAGAGATTTGAAATTACAATTTTTTTATGGATGGATGTGGTGTATGGAAGCTCCAGTTGCTGATTTAATAAAATGCTTCAGAATGAGTATGCTTTTTAGGAAACGGCAATGGTCTGGTGTTGGAAGACTAGTCAGAGAATAATTTGAGAGTAAGAGTTGTCCCCTCTCTTACTCTGGGACATGTAGTAATGCTTCTTTCTGCTGGCAGCTGCAAAGAAGGTACGAATCCTTTCCGATGCTGAAGAATCGGATAGTGACGCTGCTTCAGAGAAATCGGACAAAAGGAAGAAAAATGTTGTCTCCGATAGTGAGGAGGAGGAAGAAGAAGGAAAAGAGAATGCTGAGAAGAAAAAAGGGAAAGATCTGTTTGGCAGTGACAGTGAATCTGGAAATGAACAAGAGTAAGTGGGAAAAAGTATGAATTCTGTTGGGGTTTTAGACAGGGGGAGTGATGGTGAATGGAAAATGGATAAATCCCAACCAGAGAATAGCTGTTCACCTTCACTGGTGGCATGAAAGGTCAATAGAAGGAGATAACAAAAGAGACATCTTCATACTGTCATTAGAGATTTTGCAGAAAAGGCACATCTCGTTGTAGTCCAGGTAGATAATGTTGCTGTTACCTTCACAGGAACCTGATTGCAGATATATTTGGAGAATCTGGTGATGAGGAAGAGGAGGAATTTACGGTAAGTGTTACTGTGGATGTCTCCTGTTGACTTGCTAGATCTGGAGAGAACATATATTCTGCATCAGGTCAGTTTTGTATCTGCCACACCCACTGGGGTACTCTTTGGGTTAAATAACATTTACAGCTCATCTTTTGGAAGAATTGTTGATGTGACAGTAGTCACAGGGGGAATTAAAAATACTCTGTTCATCTTTTTAGATCCTCTGAAGATTTACCTGAAGCTTTTTTAGTGTCAGGTACCTGCTGAGTACCTGACACTGTGCTCAGTCCTGATCCATACACTGATTTGCACTATCTGTACTCATCAGGGTTTTAACCAGGAGGATTTGGAGGAAGAGAAAGGTGATGGAGACATGAAGGAGACAGCAGATGAATCAGACTCTGATGATAACATCAAAAGAGGAAAACAGTAAGTCATTGTGTTACATATTCCTTTCTTAATGGCAGATCTTTGTGAAAGGGCATTGTGCACCCTGGATATCACAGTGTGCAGATGTTGGGTATTACAGCAAGGCCTGGGAGCCACTGGAGCCCTTTGCTAGTTTTGCATACTGAGGATAATTAATTATCTCACAGGGAACTTGAGACACAATGTTTGTACCCTAGAGAAACAGAATTATTTCCTGCCAGAGAGCATCTGGTAACACTGTGGTTGTGTTCCAGCATGGACTTCATGTCAGATTTTGACATGATGCTGCAGAGGAAGAAGAGCATGAGCGGCAAGCGCAGGCGGAACCGCGATGGGGGAACTTTCATCAGTGATGCAGATGATGTGGTCAGTGCCATGATTGTGAAGATGAACGAAGCTGCTGAGGTAAGTTTTCCAGACTCCAAACACACCTTGAAATTCAGTTCCCTTCTATGGGAAAATTGTGTGTTTAATAAGATACAAAAATCTGGCTTGTATTCAGCAGGAGTAATCTGTACTCTATGGAAAGCTTCTAATTTATGTATAACCATTTAAGTGTTATTTTGCTATTCTAAATGAAAATATTCTGTTGAAATTTTCATATAATACTAATTTTTAAAATTAAAATTGGGTGAATTGCTAAACTTCCATCACCTGATATCAGCTTCTATAAAAAGTGCTATATAGGTGCTCTATAAACTACCTAATAGTATGTTAAATACTGAGAAAGGGACTGTGCTTTAATTTCATTATGGTGTTACTGGCATGTGTCATACTTTGGTATTTGTTTCTGAGAAGAGTCCTTTTCCAAACTGTTTGAATGACAGTGCCGTTGTAATGATATCAGAGTGACAGATTCATGGGACCTTCTGTCATGGCAGCCTGCCTTTTTCTAGGAGAAATGTTTAATATGTTACTGTGGAAGATTTTTTGGGATCTTGCCTTTTGTCAGGTGTCTTCTGTTTTGTTGGAGTAGCAACCAAATTAATAAACAGCACAGCAAAACACATTAAAAGCAATTGAGGGATGGAGCAATTGAGTCAGTTCTACATGACTTTAGAAACTGGAGGAAATCTACAAATAGCAACAACAAAAACATCATCCTGAGAACAAGATTAGGATAATGAGTTCAGAAAGATGGGGAAAGTGAGAAAGCAACCTGGAAGGCAACTGAAACTACTTGGGCATGAGAGGAAAGCTTTTCTCAGACAAGATGACAGCCAGATGTTTCAAATGGGGCGTCAAAGTTTGAAGTACAGGGGCAAGAAGAGGGAAGAGATGCATTAGAACAATCTTCTCCCTTGCAGTAAAACAAAGATTGCACAGAAAGAGCCTTCAGTGGATTAGGACAAACAGAAAGGAATTACCAGAGCTGGACAGAAATCTGTTGATTGCATCGGGTGTTTTTGGTATGGGTGACAAGTTTTGAATAGATAAAGACAGTCGCGCCTTGGATGGAAGTAATTTTGCAATGACAGAGGAGAAAATGTTCTCCTTTCCCATTGTTCTGCTTACCTATTTTTCTGTTTTTCAGGTGAGGCTTTACTAACAAAGTGTTATCTGTGCACAGTATAGAGGACCTATAGTTATTGTAGTCAAAGTCAGGAAGTGGAAAAAAAAAAAGTAAATTTAGGAGCACTCTCCTAATGTGATACTTTATTGGGAAATAGTAACTTAAGCAATGACCTTTTTTTCAGAGAAATTGTTGCATAATTTTTGGTGAGCTGTGGAGCAGGGGACAAAATTAGTGTAATCCCTCCAAAGTTGCACTTCTAGTTTAATGGACTAGTCTCTTTCTTGTAAGTCTTGCACAGAATGGGAGTTGCTGATTTCTTTCTTTGATTAACTTATGCTGATTCTTCTACTCTCTACAGGAGGATCGCCAGCTGAATACACAAAAGAAACCAGCACTAAAGAAATTAACTTTGCTACCAACTGTAGTTATGCATCTTAAAAAGTGAGTTGTCATTCTTTCAGTTAACTGTAACTTTGGCCAATAGTCAGAATTCGTAAGATTTCATGGAGTTGCACTACAGCTAGAATGAATATGCAGTAAAACACTTTATTCCAAGTAAATGCTGAAGCTAGATGACCTCAAAAACATAAAATTATACATAATTTCCCCTCTTAATTTAACATGAAACAAATTCAAATACACTATTTTCCTGAAGGGACATCACATCTTAAGATGTTGCTGTATTACATGACTTTTGAGCTTCTCTTTAAACCTTTTAGGCAGGATCTCAAAGAAACTTTCATCGATAGTGGTGTTATGTCTGCCATCAAAGAGTGGCTTTCTCCTCTTCCAGACCGAAGTCTGCCAGCACTAAAGATAAGAGAGGAGCTTCTGAAGATCCTGCAAGAGGTTTGGACCTGACTTTTCACACATTTGATTTCATCACATTCTCCACAGTTTTACAGTCATGTGCTTTAGGGAAATGTGAGGTGATAAATGAACTGCAGCTCTGCCAATGGGCTGTGCAGTGAAACACACAAGGAAGCAGCCTGCACAGAAGGTGTGCTTGTGTAAAAGAATTTAGGTTATTTGGCCCTGCCTGCCTGTTCCAGGTTTATATCCCAATTTAAGTGAAGAGTTACTTGCTGTGCTAGGGAAATGTGAGGTGATAAATGAACTGCAGCTCTACCTTGTGCAGTGAAACACACAAGGAAGCAGCCTGCACAGAAGGTGTGCTTGTGTAAAAGAATTTAGGTTATTTGGCCCTGCCTGCCTGTTTCAGGTTTATATCCCAGCTTAAGTGAAGAGTTACTTGCTGTGTATCCCTGAATTTTCTTTCCTTGTGGTCCCTTCTCTTTTCTGTTCTGTTTAAGTGTGCAGTGCACGGGAAGGTCCCTCACACAGTGTAGGCTTTCAGTGTCTGTGGCTAACCTGATTGCTTGAGTGTCTTTGCCATGTAAGTCTTTATTTATAGAAAGAATGATTTGAAAGCAGTAGCATAGTTTTGGGGTAATATAAACTAGAGAGCATTTGGAGGAAAAAGTTCTAGAAAGCTATCTAATTTTGTGTATAAATTAAGAATGTTATGGCAGATTTCTACATTTAGGTGTTTGATACTTTAAACAATTCCCAGTGGGACAATAAAAACATTAAATTTTCCAAGCTGATTTAAGTGAAAGGTCTTCCTGCAAAGTTCAGCGACACCATTCATGTTTGGACATAAGTCAGAAAACAGCAATAACTTTTCCTTTTCTCTGCAGCTGCCCAGTGTGAGCCAAGAGACCCTGAAGCACAGCGGCATTGGACGGGCTGTGATGTACCTGTACAAACACCCCAAGGAGTCAAGACCAAACAAGGACATGGCTGGCAAGCTGATCAGTACGTAAACCTGCCTGTGCCTTGTCTCAGATTCCACTGGTGATGAATGGAACTTCGGTATTGGTTTCTGATGCACTGCTGTTGTCTGTAGAATAGATTCTGCACTGTAGGAACCTCACTGATGTGTTCCATAACTTTGTAGAACTCTTAACAAACGCTGTTACATGAGCTTCTGAATGCACCTGTTTCATTGTCTTAAACCAGAGGGTTGCATTTGTTTTGCTGTGGTTCTCTCTTGGCTCATTGTCCAGATCTTTTGAATATGCTGCAAAGGCAGGAAGGTGCTGCCAGAGGACTGTTTATTCCATGGATTTCTGAGAGAACTTAGCTGGCTGAATGTTTACTACTCAACTGTACTCCATGTGGAGTACATTCCATTCAGAGCATTCCATTCAGAATGGCTGTAGACTGATGATAAACTTAGGTTCTTTAGGACATTTTCTGCATATTTCTAAAATAGCATTCCTGGGTTGTGCAGGAAGTCCTGACACTGAGTATTCTGGGAGTTTGGAGATCTTCTAGAAGAGCGGGCAACAAAGAGACTTTGGAGATGAAAGCTCTTGCTTTGTGTTCACAAGGCTGGTTTTCCATTAAACACTAAGGGCTCAAAAATCATTTGGTTGAAAGGAAGCATGAATACTTGCCACAGACTTTAAAAGCTGTGCTTGATCACCAGAGTGGTTTGAGAGAAACAAAGGTCTGGTCTTTATTAACTCACCATTTTTTTAATAGATGAATGGTCTCGACCCATCTTCGGCCTTACCTCAAACTACAAAGGCATGACCAGAGAAGAGAGGGAACAGAGAGATTTGGAACAGATGCCTCATCGAAGGAAAATGAGCAGGTAGGAGTAGCAGGCAGAAACATGAAATCCTTCTAAGACTCCATCAAGAGAAACCAAGTGGTGTGTAAATATTAAAGGAATAAAAGGGTAAAAGGGCAGTTAGTTATGGTCTCTCTTTTAACATACTTTATTGTCTTCTAAATTTTTTTTCTCTGTATAAATGCCTACAAATATTTATTTTTCTTGCAGCTCTGGTGGTCAGACTCCCCGTAGGGACCTGGAGAAAGTATTAACAGGAGAAGAAAAGTAGGTTGGATTTTTTTTTTCTTAAGTAAAGTATTGTGGTGGTGCTATCACTATGGAATTTCTGTAGAGGTTTTAGAGGCAGTGTGTACATCGTGTTTCAGAGGAGAGCACACTGGTGCCTTTCTGGATAAGATTTGTCCATAACAGTCACATCCTTTTTTTCCGTAGGGCTCTCAGGCCCGGGGACCCTGGGTTCTGTGCCCGTGCGAGGGTCCCAATGCCCTCCAACAAAGACTACGTCGTCAGGCCCAAGTGGAACGTGGAGATGGAGTCCTCCAGGGTAAGCACTGGCAGTGTCCTGGTGACTGTTCCTAAGCCTGGGATTCTGCCACCATTTTGCCATGGTTACTGTACAGGAGGGTAGTTGCTTTAAGGGCCTCTTGTAGTGACTGTGGACAGTAAATTCTCTGGTAAGTAGGCTGCTCTAAGCTGATCACATGTTTAACAGGAAAACATCTCTGACCACAAAGTGATTATTGAGTTAACTTTTCTAGAATTTCTCTCTCAGGTGAGAATCTGATTACAGGCCTCTTGCTTTAAAGCATTTTGAGCTAAAGCTGCAGTTCAGTACCTGTGTCACTGCACTGATGTTTTCATACCTCTCCCAGCTTTTGTATCATGTTCTAATAATATTCCAGCTTGGGACACCTTTGAGTTTTAGTAAACATGAACAGCTTCAGTGGAGGCCTTTGTGTTGCTTTGTCTTCATCCATCTACTCGTACAGTTTCATTTAAAAGGGGTATATGTGGTAGAATATGTGTAAGTGGGAGAAGTAACAATTGCTGTGCTGTCTGCTGTTCTTTCTCCTTCTGTCCATTAATTGAGATGTTGTTTCTAGCCCGGGACTATTAAGAGAGGTATTAGTCGCTTGGAAAAGCACAAGAGACGGTTTGCTGAACAGAAACGACTCAGCAAAGTGCATCGGGCCATCAAGTTCAGCATTGAAGGCAACAGGATGCCCCTGTAGCCATACCACTGCCTTCCCAAGTTGGAGAGGTATCCCTCGAGGGAGGTGTGAACAGTGCATGTGCTCCAGCTGTTGGCAGTTTGCACATGCAGGACAGGAGTGTGTACACCCTAACTTTAACCTGGAAAACTCTCCTTGAATTCTCTCGTGTCTGTACTGTGACCTACAAGGGAACTTGTACAGGAGAAAACAGGCTCTAGCACATAACCTCTGCCATGGCTCCTGCCTGCTCAGCTTCAGGGTACCCATATGACAGAGTTCAGTGAAAACACCTGTGCTCAAAACCAGCTTTGCACCACCTGTGGTTTTGAACCTGTTCTGACACAATTAGGTTTCTAGATTCACCTGAAGCGACACATGGGAATTGTTAGCCCTTGGTACAGGAGCTCGTGTCACTGCATGCCGGCGTCTGTGGCTGACCTGACTGGGGCACAGTGAGGTGTTTTTCACACCTGCTCGTTCAAGGAAGTAGAATGATGTGAGACAGCAGGGGTGGTTGATGGGAGCTACAGAGTAGAAGATTCCTCTGCTGTGAGTGTGGTTTGGGAGAACATGCGTCAATGGGAATTGTTTTGACAATTCCTGGTCTGCATACCAGTGCTGTGAGCAGGGCTGCTACAAGCTAACAGTGACAGGAAGAGGTGAGCACAAGCCATAGATAACTGTTGAGTTCATATTAAGCTTCATATTTATTTGTTTTTAAAAAAATATTTTCTTAAACATCACTGTGAAATTTTAGGTATAATTTCAATGAATAGTGAACATTTTATGAATAAACCTTATTTAAAATCAGCATGTCAGGAGCACCTTCCTTAGCCATGGGAACAAGTTTCTAATGGATGTGTTTTTCAGATACTAAAAGCGGCATGTTTTGGATATCCGGTTTCTCCCAAACTTAAAAGTGTCATGTTTCCATCACTTACTGTTTCTGTTGTCTAGTTAAGGAAAATTGCCTTCTGGGAAGCATTGGCTATGGCTTGAAGGTCCTTGCTGTTTGTCTTCAGTGGCATTTCAGCACACCATCACTGAACTAATCTGTGCAGAATAACTGTCACGCCACCTGGTTTTCATTTGCAGTTCAAATACAGAGATGAAATGCAATGCTTGTATGGTCAGCTTAGCCATTTCTTTTTGCTAGCCCCTACACTGCATTTGTTCAGTAATCTCTTGCTTTCTCAATACTAATCTCTGACCTTTAAAATAAATGGCAGCCTGAATTTAATGTGTCAGCCTTAGTCACAGTGTATCAGTGTCTAGCTCTCCTGCAGGAAGTCCAGAGTGGTGACACTGGTGCACTGTGGTTCTGACATAGCTCCAGCCCATAGATACAAAATTTCCAAATGGTATCCAGCTACACAGTGGCCGACCCTGCACTGTGATGGCTTTGAGTGCCACTGCCTCCACCTGGGCCCTGCAGCTACTGGAGGAAGCATTTTCCCTTCTGGGAAGAGAACAGGCAGATCAGCTGGGCCCAGTGGCTGCCCAGCTCCTTGCCCAGGCGCAGCCTCGCATGTGCCGCTTGCCTTGGACCTCTGGGGCCTCTGCTTTTTTTCAGTGGTAATTATTAGTTTTATTTTTTAAGTTCCAGGGGACCTCTAAGAAAGGGGTGAGTCGACTGGACAAACAGATGCGGAAATTCACAGATATCAGGAAAAAAAGCAGATCGGCCCATGCAGTGAAAATCAGCATTGAGGGCAATAAGATGCCATTGTGACCCTTCACAGAATGCCCCATGAGCTCTGCTGTAAGACAATACACCCACAGACTCTCTGGAGACCTTTACATTTTTTAACTTGTTTGGGGTGGGTTTGGTTTTTTAGTTTGTTTTTTAAGTGAATCCTTAAAAAAGGTTCTGGTAGAAGATGTTGTCTGAGGACTGTGAATATGGGGACTCCTTTCTCCTGACTGTATTTAAACTGGCCCTGTTGTGTCCTTTGTACAGATCATGTATTTGTTGTATTGCAACACTTTAAAAAATAAAACATCTTCTGGGTTTTTTTTGGGAGGGGACTGCCTTTTCATTGCTCATATAAAGGTATACACAGACCATCCTGCTGGGATGTGGGGAAAAAAACTGAGGGGTTAATTTTTTGTTCAACTTTGTCTGTTTTGTTTTTATTCATTGCTTTATTAATCAGTTGTTATGTCTTTGGAGATCTGCATCTGTTGCTTTTGATTTGGAAGTATTGATCATGTTCCATGCAAAGGATTTTCTTTTCATGAAGACTAATGTAAAGTTTGGGAGAAAGCGAGCAGATGGACCACAGAAAATTCCAGCAGCTTCCAGCTGTATTGTCACTATGGCTTACCAGTGACTTTGCAAAAGTCTGTTTTACCAGTGGGAAGGAGAACATTCTTATGTTAGCAGGCATAATGCTGTTTCTTTGTTCCTGCTGCTACAGACTGACAATAGAATAACATCTGGTATTCTGTGGCTTCTTTGCCTCTACCTCTGAAAATGGCTGTGTCTGCTGAACTTGCCTCCAGTAAGAGGACTCTTCTTGCACAGGTAATTGGCAGTTAGCATTTCTTCATTAAGAAAAATCACCTTTGTGCTGGAGGAGCAGAGCCTCTGTAATGAGTATGTAATTCTGGGGATCCTGGGGTTGGCTGAGTTACTGCTGACACCAGTCATGGAGAGATTGCAGGTTTGTGTAGGAGTCACATGTTGAATTTGCCACAGTGAGTGGAGGGAATGACAGTAACAGAGCTGTGTGCTGGGACACCAGCTTGAAGCAAGAACACCTGTGCTGAAGGAGACCTGTGCTGGCTGGGGCACTAAAGAGCTCTGCTCCTCCTTTCTCCAGGTATGTATATAATGCAGTAACCACCTCAGGTGTGTCTTTTTAGCATGCTGAGCCCTTCAGGGGCTTAGGGTTTGAGGATTTTTATTAGTTTTAATTAATTTGAAAGCCAGGACATTCTTTACTGCCATAGTGGCAGATGAAACACTGTGAAACATAATTGAACTGTGTCGAGCTATTCAGAGCCAGAATCTGTTTGGCCTGGGAGGCTCAGGGGTTAGAAGGGATTATTTTTATCATCCCCCAGCTTTTTTTGTAGTTCTGGTGCTACAGTTTAGTCCTACTGTTTATGGGGATTGCTAGGGGTAACTTCTGCATCCTAAGAGGCGTTTCTCTGAAGTACTGAACCTTGTGGTCTTGTGCAACATCTAATACAAATTCTTCCAGTCAAAATTATTTATAACAGCTCAGCACTACTTGTTCTCTGAGGAAAACAAAGGTTCTGTTGTGGAAAGGTAAGAATGGATTTTCACAAATGCTGGGGGTTTGTCATTATAACTTCATAGCTAATTGTAAGAAAGGGTCACAAAATCAAAACTTCTTTTAACATGAAACACAAAGATCAACTGTTCAGATTCCTGTCATAAAACCCTGTCCTGCAGCTCAGTCAGTTGCTGTTTGGTTTATACACTATTCTGTACAGACACTGGTTTTTGTATTGGGAAACATCTGTAATTGTGATCTGTAATACAAATCTGTATACAGATTTGTAAATACAAAACTATACAGTTTTGTAAATACAAATCTGTAACTGATTTGTACTCGAGGTTGTACTTGGTGCCAGAACTTCAGCACTCCCTCCTTGTTTCCACAACTGCATTTCCTTCAGTGAGCACTTAATTCACAAAGGGTTGTGGGCCTGTAGGAACACAGGCTTGAGACATGGAAAGCGCTTTCTTTCTTTCTCTAAAACAAAAAACTCCTCTTAATGTGAATCAGGAACATTTTTATCTTCCCCTTTGTTACTTGCAGATGGTTCTTTATTATACATAAGTACTTTACTCAGCAATACTTAATTGAGCAATTTACATATTTCAGAATTTTTTCCTACACCATTAAGGACAGGAGCAGCCATAGTGTTCTAGATTGAAACACTAATAGAACTGATCCTGTTCTTAGAGGTGGTTTTAATAAAAGTCAGTGGGAAAGTTTTCTGAATCTGCTACACTTTCAACCACCTCTTTGATCCAGGGGCTGCAGTTGGATACTCTGGTGTCTACAGCCTATTTTCCCAGCTGGCAGTGCCCAGGAGGAACGCAGTGTGGTGGGACACAGGGAAGGGGCCCCTGCTGTCTCCATGCTGTGCGTGCTGTGGGTGAGCAGCCTGTCCAGGGCACGAGGGGCAGCCACACTTCCTGAGGAGGTGCAGGGTGGAGCCCCTCGTGTGTGGCTGCCCAGCTGCTGCCTCTGCACTGCGCCCTCTTCGGAGAGCAGCGCAGCCAGGTTAGGGCTGGGCAGGCAGGTGGGAATCACAGACTCATTCAAAACAGCAGCAGGGCAATGTCACCACTGTGGTTGTGGGAATTGTAACAGGGATGAGTTCAGCTCTGTTCCACAGCTATCCTCTGTTCCTTGAATTCTCTCTGGTATTTGTCAAAGTCTCCTGCAGTCAGGACAAGTTAAAACTTTAAGCAAACTGAACAGTCTCAGTGATATTGTCACAGGGAACAGGAACACTAGAGGGTTGTAATGCTTCAATCTTTTGTTCTAAGGTGCCACAGCCCAAACCAGATCCTGGTCATGACAGTGATTTCTGATGCTGCAGACTGATCTGCAGTCCAAACTCTCTAGGTGCCCTTTGGAAGCAAGACAGAGCTGACACATCAACAGAGATTATTTTCCATAAATACTGTCAGTCATTTCTGTGCACAAGCCCCCATGCAGCACTAGGACACTGACCAGAAACAATAGAGTGAAAATTAGTAACAAATAAAGACATGCACCAAAAAATGCCCCAGCCATGATTTAAAATCCAAAACAAGACAATGGAAACAAACACTTCAGTTGTCCCTCTTTGCCTCATGCACTTGCCTGCACCTTTGAGCCCTCAGTTTTACCTCCCTTACCATGCTCAGCATTCTAAGGAACCTCACCTGGCCCTGGACCTTGCCTTGTAAAAATTACCAGCCTTCCACAAGGAGGCAAACCCTGGCTTTTCCCCAAGGACATGCAGACACAGCCTGAGAGCACAGATGATCTGACTGACTTAACAGAGATGGTATTAACATTCCAATCCAAAAGCAAGATAGGGAAACAGTGATAAAGGTATTTAAGGTCCCTACTATCAAAAAGCCTGGCAGATGACTGTGGTTCTATTGCTCTTGACCTGAATAAATAACTTTATAATGGCTTGATGAACTCTGCTCCTCCTGACAGACCCAGTGATGATAAAGTAAGAAAGCATTTCTTACTTGGTGTAAGAAGGTGTGGTGTTTATGGTGAGACTGGAAGTAAAGTATTACCTGCCAGGGGCAATGTCCATGACACACAGTGTTCCTCCTGTTATCCTGGAGCCATGAAGAGTGAGACAGAGCTCAGCCAAAAGCAGAGCTGATGTTTGTCTGGGTGGTTGAAGGGGTGGGCTGAGGCTTGTCCAAACCATCTCCCCAGTCACTGCCCTGATGCAGTGCCTCAGTCCCAGGCTGTGCAGCTCCTGTTCCACTCTGGCCAGAGCCCTCCCATCACTGGTTTTGCCCCGTTGCATTTCCCACTGCTCCTTCCTGCCCAGCTGCAGGTGCTGTGATCTCGTTCTGCCCTGCAGGGCCCTGGCTTGGCTCACCCCGGGCCTGCCAGGCCTGGCAGTCTCCTCCACAGCCTCACAGTGCTCAGGGACAGCCAGCTCTTGTCCTGCAGCACTCTCCTGCAGTGGCTTCTGGGTCACAGAGCCCACCAGCGTTTTGTTCCAGCTGAAAATATCTACAGACATCCCCATTTGTCCAGCGTCACCCTTTGTGCACACACTCTGTCCAAAACCATCCTTTAAAGCCTCCTTTTCCCCAACATCACCGTGTTCCAGCTCTAATTGTGCCCTCTGTGCTCCCATTCCACTTGGGCACAACATCCCTGTGCTCCCATTGGCCCCTGCAGAGCCATTTCAGCCCCAGCTGCTGTTCCTCCAGAGCCCACCTGGCTGTGATCAGGCCACAGGGAAATGGTGCTGGAGGCAAGAATGACAGAAACAAATACGAGCTTAGGATATGTGGTGCCATGTTGAACTCTCCAGAGCCCACCTGGCTGTGATCAGGCCACAGGGAAATGGTGCTGGAGGCAAGAATGACAGAAACGAAGACTTGAGCTTGGGATATGTGATGCCATGTTGACCTGAACACAGCTGAGCTTTTGCTGTCCAACACTGGTACTCAACCTTCCAGTAAGAGGCCAGGAACAACTCTGGCATTGTGATGTTCAACAGCCCGTTGGCCACCAGCCAGGGTGTGCAGAGCTTACTGCCCAGACGTGGGCCCGTGGCTGTGCCTCCTCTGAGTCAGCATCAGCCAGGAGCAGCCTGGCCAGGGCCCTCCTCAAGACAGAATGCAAGCCCAGCACTCCCTTCCTGCCTGCCTTAACAATCAGTTTTATTTACCCCTCAGGACAGGATCATTTACACAGGATTATAACAACCAGGATTATTTACACCTCACTGCTAACTTCCCTCCACTTCTCCTAAAATCAGGTTTCTCACTTTCTCCTGTGAATGGAAGATCGCCTTAGCCTCTTCAACTGCATTCTCTCATTGCATTCTCTCTCCAGGTTCCCTGGACAAATCTCTTCTAGGAAGTGGTTGGCATGTTTATGGACTCACAGCACCTCATGGGCTTTGTCTTTTCTCATAAGCACTAAAAGAGCAAAATTGAACAGCTGGTACAGGAAGACAAAGCAGCAGCATTGTTACAGTCACAGTCAGGCAGGTATTCAGTAGAGTGGTATAAATAGGGAAAGTGGAAATTTACACAAACAGCCCAAAGGACAATAAAATTAGCCTGTGTTCCAGCAAAAGATACCAGTAGCACTTTCTTTCAGTGAATAAAAAAGAGCCCCTGCTGTGACCTGTAGGTAAGTGCAGAAATAATTTTTTATTCCAGAAGACTCTCGAGTATGGCAGCTTGTTCTGTGGAGGATGCTGCTTAACTTCTGCTTAACCATCTTGATTCCCAGCAATTACTAGTTTGATATTTGGTAGTGGAGACCCAGAATTTTCCAGGTGCTACCATGGCCACAACAGGACAGACATCAATCCTCTATTAAGAAAAATATTGAAATGGCAGTTTTGCATTTAGTTCATCTGAGCTTCACTTCACTGTATGACTGGCCCTCCTCCTGTGATGCCTGAAGCTGCTGTCAGTAAATTAAGGGAGGAATGGCTGAAAGAGGCAATATGGCAGTAAGGTCCTGCCCACACACCTCCTGCTGCTTCTGAAGGTTTCTGCCCTTTTGTTACATCTCCAGAAGTGTGGCCCAATATCCAAAAAGCCCACCCAGCAGATGCTGGGAGAGGCTGCTGCTACCAGTGTTCTAAGGTGAAAGCTCAGGCTGTAATCCCCACAAAGCCCACAAAAATCCACATAGCAGTGCCCTTAACAGTGCTCCATTTTCCAAGTCATGGGACAGTGCCCTTGGACAAAGAACCCAGTTTTGGAAATGGACTGTGAAACATACATTTCTTTTAGTTGCAGGAACAGTATCTACAGCAATGCCTGAAATTCTAGGATTATATTAAATTGCTTCATTTCTAGGCAATTAATAACGGCCCACAAAAATTCTTAATGAAGAAAGGCTTTGGACAGATCCTGCTGTCTGGTAACAGAGAAAATGTCTTTCATGTACATGAGTGAAATTTCCCTCCACCACCCCTTGTGTTCTGGGGTCACCTCAGAGGGTTTACCTACTCTCAAGCAGGTGTCCCACACAGAGGAGATGCTGTGCTGAGCCTTCTGCTGTGTAGATACACTGCCAGCTCTGCTCTTCCTCCTCTGCAAGGACAGCCACAAGGATCCCCAAGATCCTGAACACTCCTGTGCCTGTTCTACAGCTCTCTGAAGCCATTTCAAACCTCGTCTAGTACAGTCAACACAAGGGCCAAGAACACAGGTTGAGAGCAACTCGTTTTAGCTTCCCAAATTGGAAGTCTTTGCCATGCAAAAATCATTATGATTTTGGATTCAGTATCACAAGGACAATATTTTTCAACAGGAGAGTGGGCTAAGTAGAAAGCTAAGAAAGGCTGATTTCGATATATATATGAATAATAATTTTTTCTTGTGCATTTCAGAAAGTGTTTCTTCAACCCACAGGACTTTTTGTGCAGAACAGGAATGTAGTTTCAGTTTAAATGCTGAAATTGCCAGAGTAACACAAATTAAAAAGGTAACTCAGAAGTACTACCTGAATATGAAAACGGGCAGCTGCTGTGGATATAGCACATCAGCAGGAGAAATATCTCAAGTAAGGAGCTGCTCTCCATGTCAGTGAGATTCAGAACACTCTGACTTCCTTCAGAGAGAAAAGAAGAATCAAATTAGTCTGTTGTAATGAAACCAGCTGGCAACAAAAATGAAGTAGAAGCAAGAGGACAAGAGCAGGGACAAAGAAATCAGAATCTCCCCAGTTCATTCGACCTCGTGTCCCTTGTTTCTCCAAGGCACCCCAGCAGGAATCCCCACAGGCAGAGGCTGAGCCAGCCCAGGCTCTGAGCCAGAGTCCCTTTGGAAAAGCCATGGGGGCACAGGAGTGCAGGGGCAGACTCCAGGGGAGCAGCCACAGCCCAGTCCCTGCTGTGCTGGCTCTGCCAAGGGCAGAGGCACAACCAGCCGTGAGCTCAGCAGTGCCAGCAGCCACTGTGCAATTCCTGATGGTCCTGGCAAGTAACATCATCCACACCAACCCCAGCCAGGCACAAGCACCAGGTACCTGGGAATCACAGGTACAAGACAGAAGTCTGGATTTCTTGGCATTACCTTCCCACGTTGAATGATTTACCAGGATTTGGCAGCACGTACCCCTCTGCTTCTTGCAGCTTGTTTGCAAAAAGGATCCAGAGTGAGTTCACCTACACAGAACCATGCAGTTATACTCACTTTTTTCCTATATTTTTTAGAGGAAGACAGAAAAGAGATTTGGATGTACACCAGGAACAGCCATGAGGTCAAGAGGTTGATCATTAACTCATCACAAATATTGACAGAGAAGAGACAAACTGGATTCTATGAAACACATTAGAAAACCAAAAGAAGAAGAAAACTGCATGTATGTTTCCATACATATACACAGGTGCATTAAAACAGAATCAAAAGGTCTTTAAAAATATCCTTCAGTAATAAAAGCAACCTTTTGCAACAAACTTATTCAGGAAAATATGGAAATTTTGAGAGCAGATTTCTGACACTCCATCACCTTCCAGCAGGTAAGACCAACCCATTTGGAAAATACACAAGCTGCTCTGTAAACCTCTGCTGAAATATGCAGAGCTGGGAGCATGCAGGAGGAGTCACAGCAGTCACCTGCAGGGAGGCAAATATTGCCCTGGCACAGCCACTGCCACTCCAACATTACAATTGCTGCTGTTACTCAGACCCGTTATACTGGCTTTGAACACATCTGTGCAAGTCAGTGTTACAGGTTGCCTCTTCCCCGTGCAGGCCTGGTGGGAAGGCTGCTGTTCAAAGCATTATTCTTTAACATTTGTCCATCTCTAAACCCCATCCCAAGGCATAAGGAGGAGGAGAGGAGAGAGACAGAGCCTGCAAGTGACACAGAAGCCATTGGCTTCTTCAGTGCATGAATCAAAATCCTCACTTGGGTAATAAGCACAGAGGCAGCTTCTGAGGGAACAAATTTAAGAGGTATTAAGCCTCCTTGCTGATTTAATATTAAATTTCTTAGGAACTCTAATAAAACTTTGTTAAACAAAAAAAACCCCCAGGTATAACAATCTCATCACAAGAGCAGACTGAAGTTCTTCACTGATCCAAACATGCATCCAAGCCCACTGAGATGTTGGAAACACATCACTACAGCAGAGATAGTTTTCCTTTTTCTTTCTACAAGATTAATTATGTTTAACAAGTCTCAAGTACTAAGATTAGAAACAGGTATAAATTGCAATATTTAACTTCATTTGCACTATTGCTACTTCCTATGGATTAATTGGTGCTGCCTTTATTTTGTTTACTGATATACACACAGAGATACAAACAAATATGTATTTATCAGTAAAAGCATCAGCAATGCTAACACAGCCTGCAGCCCATTGCATCCACCAGCACAGTAATGAACAGAAGTGTTTGCCTGATTGTTAATTAGAAAAGAATTACAGACTTCATGATAAATAGAGCCTGCAAAAGCTTGGAATTAAAGTAGGTTTTGGGTTGGGTTTTTTGTTTGTTTGTTTGGGGTTTTTGGGAATAACATTAAAGAGAGTTCCCATTCTCTTTTAAGGAAGTTTGGGAGGGTAAAATCTGGCATCAAATGTGCAAAGAATGGAAAATACAGGTAAGTTCCAGTCACCTGCTGAATCAACAATCTGTGAACACTGGAGTAAGGTGTGAAGAACTGGAGGTAGTAATGATGTAATAAAAATTTCACTGGGTTGAAAGAAAAATTATACAAATACTGAGCAAACCAAAAGAGTTACTGTGGGCAATACCTTGCAGTACAGCTGAAATTACATAACTGCATCTCTAGGGTTATTTGCAAAACACTTTTCTGTGTCCCCTCCAGCCTCCACCCCAACCAGTTCAGACATATTACACAAGTGACATTTTTATTTCAAAGATGGAGTTGTCTGACCATGGACAACCTTATTTTCTACAATGCTGTATGTACAGCATCTCAGCTAACAGAGGATATTTTCTTGCCTGTAAGGCTGAAGTAGGACCATGCCACAAATAAACAACATAACCTGCAATAAACCAATGTAAACAAGAAAAAAAAAAGCAGGAAAAGAAGTAGATACCAAGGAAAACAGCACACAAGGTTAACACATACTCAATATTTAATACTGAAGATCTGACAGTACATTACAGTGCATACTGCCACTAGCACAGAGTCACAACATTCCAGACTCTGCATCAGAATCAACCTTTCAAAGGAGCTGACGTATCTATGTGGTGCTGGATCCACTCAAGGTACTGACTAATTTTGGTGTACACTCCAAATTTCTCCCTCCTTCCACAGCCTTCACCCCAGCTCACCAGCCCTATCAAGAACCAAGTATCCTTGTATCTAGTGAACATAGGGCCCCCGCTGTCCCCGCGGCACGAGTCCTTCCTGTCTCCCAGGCTGCCAGCACACAGCATGTTGTCAGAGATGGGGGAGCTCATGGCCTGCGCGCACTCGTTGCGGGGCGCGATGGGGATCTCGATGTACCTGAGGAAGGCAGCGAAGCTGTGGTTGCGCTCGCTCATGCTGCCCCAGCCCGTCACCACCGCCCGCCGCCCGCTCTGCATCAGCTCCTGCTCCGCCAGGTTGCGCGTGGGAAGGCAGAGGGGGAGCGCGTATTTGTAGTACATCACATGCTCAGCCAGGTGCAGCATGGCTATGTCGTTATCTGAGGTCTTCTTGGTGTAATTCTCGTGGATCACCCATTTATCAACCCAAATGGTTTGTTCGTCTGCCTCAGGACGGAAATGGAATTTACCTGGAAGAGCAAGCAAGATGACAGATGCTGTCAAAGCTTCCTTTACTTTGAAAGACCAAAGCATCTGCATTACACTGAGTGTTAGGACTGCACTCCCATGTTTTTACTTCTCTTTGTTGTAATACAACTGTTTATGTCATAAGTTAACACTGTTCTTAACAGATGGACGCGTCTCTAAACTTTTCATATTTACAGAAATCACAAATACCTATAGAGCTCTAGAGCTCTGGTCATCAGCTGAGAAACCAACTTGCTCTGTGGTGTTCATATTTCAGTACACTTGTGCTATGTGAGTCAGGAGGAAAACAACCTTCTTGGAGCCAGCATTCAAAGCTGGGAGAGCAAGCACACCACAAAACAGGACATTTACAACAGGACATGAGCTTTACACCACGTAGTCAGGGTCTGAATAGCTGAATGTCAGTTTTTGTAAGATAAAGGTGACTGACAAGTAAGATTGTTCCTTTCTGAAATCTTACATCTGTATTTTAAGAAATTTTTCACTGCTTAAGACTTCCCAGTTGCTATTTGTGCCACATCATCATGGCTACTTCATGGGCCAAGCAGTTATGAAACACCAAGCAAGAATCTATGTTGAAAAGGGCCACAAATGTAAGAAGGCATTTGTGATACATTGCAATAGGAAAGGCAGAGCTAGGTCTTCTGCTAGGCTGTCAGTGAGGTCTTGCAAGTGTTTTTTCTGTAAGGAGCATCTCCAAGCATAGGGACTTAAAAGCCACAGTAGTTACAGAAATATATTCTCAAAAGATCTCTTAAACCCAGCTTTGGATCTTGGTCTTCCAGACCATTTATTTCTGAGTCTCTCTTCCTGCTCCTCTGCAGACAGACAATGGACAGTTCACACGTGGCCGGACAGACAGCTGAAACTGCTCTGATGTCTTGTACTGAGAGGCACCAGCCCCTGATGGACCTGCTAGTATTGAGCCAACAAGCACAAGCCAGTTTTTCTCTCCTATCACAATTTCTTTGTAGTGACAGTGTTTGCAGCACCCCTAAGGCAGCCTGAAGGCACTGTGGCTGGGGGCTGCCTGGCAGGGCTTTATTCCTGCCTTCACAGATACAAACTCTGCTTTAGGCCTCAGAAATAACTCTGCACTGTCAGACCATCTCCTCTGAGGGAGGCAGAGGGGCTGTGCAGGAACACACTTGCTGTGGGTACACGCTCTGTACACCAGCACAGCCACCAGCTGCCTCCATCCTGAGGCACCCACCAACCTGTGGGTGACACCTTTGGCACTGCAGTGACAGACTTCCCTCACTCCCAGGGGGACACCCATTGACTTCTGGTGGGTTATCCACCCCCAGAGTTTTCAATTTCAAAAATCCTGGATGTACACCTGGAGGCACTGAACCCAGAGGCTGTGGAAACACATTGAGTTCCTGCTACACAATAAGGACCATCATAATCTTTGCTGCTGGCATAAAAGTATTAACTGTGAAGGCAGAAACACGATTTTAAATTGAGTCATTACATCCACCTATCTGCTCTATCTTCTTGGAGTTCTGAACACACTTCTGGATGCTCTTGGCCTGGTGATGCAGGAACAAGAGCCAGAAACAGGAATATTGTGTTATTCTCAAATCCATCTTCCAAAACTTCAGCTACTCTTAGAACTAACTTTCTATTTCAGACACCAAAGCACATGAGTGCTGCTAGAAGACTTCTCCCCAAGCTGTGTGTAAACTCAGATGCAAGTTTCCTCTCCAGTTTTGCTCCTGTGAATGGCAAGCTGCAGTGAGACAAGTCCAGAAGGATGTGGGGTATCCCAGCCTGACAGACACAGGTTGAGTAGCACCTGTGCAGGTTCAGTACAAACACTTCCATGGCTGTTTGCATGGACATGGCAATGTCTTCATCCAAAACTCTCCCCCTTGTCACTCACAGATGTCTCCAGGTTTTTCTGATGAGAACTGCTTTGGGGTGACAGAAGTCTCTCTGTGAAAAGGTGAATATTCTGGCACTAAGAGGACCCAAGGCTACATCACACAGTTTTCAATTCATTCTTTCTGTTGGATGTACATAAACTTGTTGTCTCTGCTCTCAAGCATCTGCACGTCCACAGCGTGTATGGAACATGCACACAGACATCTATTTTTAAAGCTATATACACAAACAATATATTGGCTGGACTCTCTACAAATAATCTATCCTTTCACTAATGGAAAGCAAGCAGTGAGCTGTTATGCTTCAGCACCAATGCTAAATAGAAAACATCGTTAAAAAAATTCTAAGTGCAAATGAAACACTAATTATCTTTGTCTGTCAATTCAGGAGAAGCATTTACTTGACATAGTGACATTTTCTCATGCTCCAGAGCAGCAGAGCAAGTAAAGGCAGTGTTGCCATTATGCAGCACCTCTCCAGTGAAACATTCTTAAATAACAGTGTTTAAATACCTGAAAAGGCAGGAAGAGACCCTGTGACATTCTCCTTCTGGGATCAAGACTTTTTTTTCAATATTGGGATGGTCTTAAATATACTCATCACCAGAAAAACACAGGCAGAAGAGATCAAGACTTTCTACTTTACAGACCAGCAGCAGTGCTCAGTAGACATCAGCTCACTTCCAGAGTAAGGCTGAAATAGCTCAAATGAAATCAGATTTTTACTAAACTTTGTTTTAAGCTAAGGTGTATATTAAATACTGCCTAGACAGACCACTCCTACAGCCAAGGACTTTTGCCTTCAGAACCTGCCAGTCTTTTTCCTGAGATGATAAATGTTAGGAAATAAACATTTATAGTTAAAAAGCAGAGGGACAGGTGATTTTCCATACCAAGTTTAACTCTGAACCCCTTGTTATCTTCAAGGCAGTGTGCTGCTGTTAGGACCCAAGCTGGATGGATGAGAACACCCCCACAGAGAAACCTCCCTTTGGTATTTTGCAGCATAATCTGAAACAAGACAAGGGAGGTGTGACACTGCATGGAGAACAGCTCACAGAATACTGTACTCAGTCTTCTTGGGTGATGCCAAACACCCAGACTTATCAAGCATCAAAGCATGTCACATTCACTGAAGCCAAAGCTCTATAGGGGGACAAAAGCTCTATAAATAGAGTCTCTATGAAATACCTACAAAAAAAAGGTTTGAATGTCTTTCCTGAATGAGGGCTGGCTTCATCTAAATCAGCATGGGGTGATGCTGGTCACTGCAAAGAAGCACTTTGTACTCAAAGCTTTGAAATACAGAGCACAAATGAGGGGTGTGTCCCACACCAGAGACCGTGCATCATCTCAGGCTGCAGCTCTCATGCTGTGGTGTAATAGGCCCTCTGATATCAAAGGGAACCAGGCCCTAATTATTTGCATTCATTAGCTCCATGGTAAGCTCTGTGAGGTCTCCCTTTTCTTTGCAATAAGCCAACCTGTCATGGCATATCTTGCTGATTAAGTCTGCTAACTTGAATTTACGACAGACAAGGCTTATACGAAAGGGCAGGAAGATCACCTCCCACTGTTGCAGGAGCTGAAGCACACATCACACACCATGAGCTCCCCAGGACGGAGCAACAGAGCAGGTGAATGCCATCACCATCTTTTCTCTTGGTGGTGTTGGCACATTAAGGTCAAAAGCTTGGCAACAGCAACAAGGTCAAGAATTCTCACAGATATTAAATTATTTATTCCTGCTACTCCAACCTTTGGGATGCTTTTGAAAAAGCAAAGGGAATCTTAACTTCATATGACACCATCAGTAACAAAGCAAGAGCCTTTCTGGAGCAGAGAGGAAGGCAGAGCAGTTCAGGAAGAGCCTGAACTATTTGTGGCAAAGAATCCCTTTGTCCTTACCTGCCAAGGGCTGCCTCCCCTTCTCCCAACTTTTCCACCAATGAGCCGAATATTGAAATCTGCTTTGGCTTCAATGTAGTCCAACTTGACTCTTCCACAGGGGAACTCCACTGCAGAAAATGCAGAGAATTCATTAGCCCAGGTCACCCAATCCTCTTTTTAGAGGATTTCCTCTGTCTGACCTAGGCAATACTGTCCAGAGGCTTCATGGAAGTCCCTCAGTGCTTGGCAGAGGAGGCAGTCTCCTGACTCCCCTTTATGTTTCCCTGAGACAAACATGGATAAAGGGCCATAAAGTGGGTATGGAGCTGGGAAATGCAGGCAGAGTTACTCTTCATGCAATAGATGTTTTGAAAATGAGTACACTGCAGACAAATCTCCCCTAAAATTCTTTTACATCAGCCTGAATAATCCTGTGTCAAAGCTGGACTGCAAACATCCTGCTCTTACCTACAGGCTCACACGTGGTGTGGTCATCCTTGAGCCGATACCCCGAGGCGCAGCTGCACAAGCGATGCTGCTCAGCAGGCTCCTCCCTGCAGAAATGCTCACAGCCCCCGTTCTCCATGGAACAGTTGCTGTATTTGACCTCTGTGGGAAAAACAAACAGCAAGAGAGACGTGGAGTTGGGAAGTCAGGGTCACAGAAAGGTAAGGTGGCAAAGTGACATCATGCTTCAAGTGGGTAACAGCTATTGATGGATTTGGAATGACAGTTGTGGGCTTCAATGACACTCAGGCCTAGGTCCAGAATCAGGGAGTGGGGAGATGGAGGAAACAGATTACTGTAGACTGGAGAACAGAAAATGCCCTGTTACTATGTGCCCAGTCCCACAGTGAAAGCTGTTGATGATACATGACATACAATGCTCATCCCTAAATATGCTATCCACTTTTGTCCAAGGAAGGAACTGACACAGTAATAAAATATTCACAGTAGATTGGGTTTTCCCCTGTATTTAAAAACCCCACCATAATCCCCAATTCTAAAGTAAACCCCTGCTTCAGAGTTATTTCCAGTATTGTCCGAAATTTAGATATCTCATACCTCTAAAATTATCCTATGGCAATACAAAGTTAATTTTGCATTAGATAAGCACAGATAAACCTCTTACCACATCAAGAAGCAAGAGAGAAATCACATTAATAAAGAAAGTAGTAAAGAAAGAATATGCCATGCAATGACTGAAGTGTCCATCTCTATCACACAGAGATCCCTGTCACAAAGGATGTTATTTTATAGTGGATTAAATGCAGTGTTACCATAATTGCACAAAACCCCCTCCCAGCCTTCGTTACAGATGCAGGAAAATTTTCCAATATTGTCCTTGCAGCTCCCGTTGAAACAAGGCTTGTGCTCACACTGATCTCCATCTGAAACAGAGGTAGGAAAACTCAGTTGCTGAACCACACAGAGCTCACAGATCAAACATCAGCACAAACAGACCCTCCCCAGACTCCCAAGCATCAGCCAGGTCTCTGGCACTTAATGGTGACACCTCTGTGGCAGAGACAGGGTCACCTGTTTGGGCTCTCAATTCCATCTGCAGAGTGAGTGGAGTGGGCAGAAGGGGAGGAAAGAGTAAAGCCTGAAGCAGGCAGGGCAGCAGGTTACTGCTGGACCATGTCAGGCATGGTTAGAGCATCAAACCATTTTTCAATTCCTTAACTCTGGGAAGATGACTGATGATAGGTACAGATGCACCTCAAGTGTTTTAGGGAGTTGTATGATAGAACAGGAAAACATCCTCTGCACACCCCTTATGAGAGAGAATGAGAATTTAAATCAGTATATGACACATAGCAGGAGGAAGGCTGAGTACTAGTAACTCCTGAGGAAGCACAGAGAAGTGATGAGGAAAGTCTTTGCTTACCTACATACTTGCTCCAAAACTCTAGCTGTGGAGAAACAAAACTTGTATTACAGCGAGAAAACCATTTTTCGCAAGTGAGGGATTTCAAGTGTTTTGTGGTCTTGGCCAACAGGACACAGCACTTTGGTCAGTAACATCGGTCTCTCTCTTCTTGGCAGTGTAGTGACTGGCACTACAAACCAAGAAAACAGCCAGTGACTCTCCTGTAGTCTGTACTAAGCACAGACTCCCCATCTCTGCTTGCAGGCTATTTTCTTGGCACTTACTGCCAGGTAAGTCACCTGAGCTCACTTGAGCCCAGTTAGACAAAACACAGGAAGGCTTGGGAGATACACTGAAAAGCAGCCAGGACTGATGAATGGACAACAAAGGGGAAAGACTGGAAGGACTGGGAAAAACTTAGTAGCAGCAAGAATAGCCCAGTGGGGTCAAGCAAGGATTCTAATTAACTGTCTAGGACCTAAACCTCACCAGGCGGGCCAGATGGACATGCTTGAGCAGCCAAGCTTTGTGGCCCATAGAGGGGTAACTTGACAGTCACTGTAACACAGTGACACTCAAAACCACGCCTACACCTGAGGAGTCAGGAAAGAGCCGTGTTCAGTACTGACAGCAGGATCTCCTGTGCCCTGGATTGCAATATTTTAAGAAAATCATTGATTGACTAAGTTATCTTATCCTTAAAAAAAAACAAACAAAAAACCAACTTACTGTTGCTTCCCTGGTTTCAAATATCTCACTGGCCTCCTCAAAGTCACAGAGCTCTTCAACACACTCACGCTCCATAGAGCCTGGCTTGAGCTCCTCCAGGAAAGTGTTTGACCGCTTCTGGATTCTCAGGACTTGGTTTGCATCTTTACTGCTGTAAAATACTGCAAGCAAAAAGGTGAGAGCAGAAGCAGAGAAAAGAGCTGGCTGAAAACTCACAGTGGTGCTTCCCAAAGGACACTTATGAGAGCAAGAGCCTCTCTCCAGTAGAGCAAGAGAAGCTGCCCTAGACACCATGTGCTGTCTGTGCTGTGCTGCAGAAGCAAGCTCCAGCCTCTGCCCTGTGGTACTCTGACATCTCACGGGGCTCAGCAGGGCTCTGACCAGGCAGCTGCCATGGCCCCACCACTGTCTGCCAACCTCTACTAAAAGAAGTCAAAGCCCCTCAATGGGAAGGATTCCAGCCACCCCCTGTGACTAACAGAGGAGCAGGAAACAAAACTGCAGTGACTGGGAAGGGTTGAAGGCCATCTCTCAAAGGAATGCTTACTTGAGGTGGAGCAGCCCCAGAAAGAGCAGGCAGCCAGCAGCAGCCCCACAGTGAGGAGCTTCCACATCTTGCAGGAGTCACCTGAGGAGGAGAAGGCAGGTGTCCAGAAGAGCACACTGGCCAGTGACACAAGCCCCTGCTGCAGACCATTCCCACCATCCAGCTCAGCCAGGTCGCTCACTGGCTTTTCAGAAAGCTGCTTCTCTCTGAGCGCTCTGCTGCGCCCTGTCTGACCCCAGCCCTGGAACAGCTGATCACTAGGGCCCCTCCAGAGTGGTTTGCTCATTCCCTTTAACACATCAGCAGCTCTCCCAGAAAACTTCTGGCCTGTCCTGACACCCTCCCCTTGTCACTGGACATTTTTTACAAGTTTCATGCTCTATTAAAGCAAGTTCTATTTGGAAATCTCAAAGGATACAATACTTTTGAAGCACTTACTGCTTTATTCAGTGGGAATCAGCGTGATCTGTTCTTCCTCCATGAGCTCTGCTGGAACTTAGTTAATCCATAACTTCAGATATTTACTTTTTGGAGTGACAGGAAGTGCTTTCTTTTCAGTTGTTAAACAAACAGTGCTCAGGGAGAGCTTGACCATTTACCAGCATACAGGGGAAATGTAAAACAGCTGAGGCACCCACACTGCCTTTCTCAAACCATTTTCTCCTTTTCATTCTCTGGTGAGCAGAAATGGTTATATATAATTTGCAAGTGTAAAATATCCAGTGCTGTAAAATATCCAGTGTAATTTGCAAGTGTAAAATATCCAGTGCTGCGGTCTCTTGAGAGATCCTGCCCTCTTCTCACAGCACACAACCACCCAAAAGAGACACATACTGCAATTTTTAAGTCCTCTCACTTCACTTTCTCATCAAAGTTTCCACCACAAAACAGCAAAGGGAACTAACCCCCGCTGACAGCCATGAGCAGATACCAGATGCTTGTACCAGTATATTGCATCTTCTGGTGTCCTGGGTTAGCTCTCATCAGAACAAAGTATTCTATGGAATTCTGAACACTAAGCACCCTCAATCCTTTTCAGAAATTTTCTTGCACTGGAGGTGGTAGGAACCAGCATGTCCAAGTTCTCTGCAAACAGTGTCTGCAGTGGCACCTCTGTGAGCTGTGCAGCAGAATTCCAGAATCACTAAGGTTGGAAAAACCCTCCAAGACCATCAAGTTTAACCTGTGACCAAATCCCCACCTTGTCCCCCAGCCCAGAGCACTGAGTGCCACATCCAGTCGTTCCTTGAACATCTCCAGTAATGGAAACTCCAAGCCTCTCTGGGCAGCCCCTTCCAATGCCTGACTGTCCTTTGTAGGAAGGAATTCTCCCTGATGTTGGAAGATATGGCATCTTCATGCAAACTACCAGTGCACCCAGGAGTCCTCTGGGGTCCTTCACCAGGAAAAGTGCCACCAGAGGTTAGGGAAAGCCTCCTAAAAACATCCTATTTTTTTTAATCCCTGTACTGATACTCAGTAAGAATTAACTTACTTACTTTTTCGTGATGCCTTTTCTTTCGAAGGCTTGGTTTTCTTGTTTTCTCCTGCCACTGCAGTGAAGAAATAAGTACTTTAAAAGCCAGCTTTTTTACTTAGGCTCTCAGGTGATTTTATGACTTCAGGTGCAAGGGATTGAAGAAAAAGATGGTTCAGGTACTTCAACTTTTGCATGCCAGGGAACCAATTTCAATCTAAAAAAAAAAATCAGTGCTGGGCTGTTTTCTACTTCACTTTCATTTTAAAAAATAGGATTTTTTCTAAGGAGAGCTTAGAAGAGGGTAAAGAGAAAAGAGAAACCTCACAAGAGAATGGCAAGACAGAAGCTCCATAAATTTAAATTAGCACTGTGGAGACTTCTGATTCAGTATGTTATGAACATGCACTAATAATTGAATAAACCACCTCCTTGAAGTGACAAAAAGCATCATGAATGTTTCAGCTTTCACAGCTGAAAGATACTCCCCCTTGCAGCTTGAAGGGACAGAGCACAGCAGAGTGTTTACACACCCCTGTGTGTAAAGAAAGCCAAAAGCTCTGCTTTTGCTTTTCTATAGCAAAGCTTCTGGCAAATTCTCAAATGTGTTCTTGGCCTTTAGCCTCTTAGCTAGGAGTACCAAATTGCTCCTCTCAAATTTTTCTAAATTGAAATTATGTAAATTTCTGCAAATTAAATAAATTATAGACAGATGTAAATTTTTCTAAAGAAGAAAACTGAAGTGGCAAAAAAACAATCACAAAAATCAAACCCTACAGCTCTTCAGCAGTCATCCTGTGCTGCATGCATCAGTGCTTCCTATTTAATAGCTTTTAATTTGCAAGAAATCTGAACAATTCACTGAACAATAAAAGCACCAAGCCTACTTCCTACATGCACACTGGAGCCTCTACCTGCCAGAACTCAATCAAAGTCTTCCTCTCATCCCAAGTCCTGTGTTACAGAAACACAGTGCTCTGTGAGCCATCATCTCTCCCTGTGAACTGTCTGAAACAAGACAGCAGCTTCAAACAGGCATTAAAAGGGGAAAGACAGGTTCATACACACAGCACCAGACAGACTGCACCTGCTTCCCTAGGAAACCCAAGTTGAAGTATCAATCTCCTCAGGTTGCTCTTCTGAAAAGTCCTTGGAGCCCAAGGTTTTGCACAGTTCAGAGGAGCACTGAACATGTGCCAGAAAGGCAAGAACACCTCTCCATGGACAGCCTGTGTGCTGCTGGGAACCCAGTTTGCAACCTGGGAACAAGAGGACATCAACAACCTGTGCAGATATCGAATTCCCCCCAGCCTGTCCCTTCCCTGGTTGGGATCTGCTCACACCTGGGAATGCTGCTGGGGCTGCAGTTCTGTACAGCCTCTGCAAAGAGAGACCATCACCTTGCTCCAGCTCCTCCTCTGGAGCAGCCCATCAGTGCAAACCAACCTGCTCACGGAGGAGGACATGAGGGCTGAGGCCACCCCCTTCCCTGCTCCCATGAAGAAAAGCCAAAACTGGCTTGCATTTTACCATGAAGTCAACCAAAGGAGGCTTCTGGGTCATATGCACACTGCCTCAGCTCCTCCTTGCTTGTAAAGAAAAACACTCCCAGGTAGGTGACTGGGTAAATGCAGAATGCTAGAACTCTTCAGACAGAAGTTGCTGGAGAACTGCCATGACTCTTTTAGCTGTTATCAATGTGGAATGTCACTTTCCAGTCTCAGGACCTTTTAATTCTGCCCACATGAAAATCAAACACCTCAAGCTACTCCAGTCCCAGCTAGGGGGTGCACAGTTATTCATACTTTTGCATTTAAACCCACTGGTAGAGATCTTCACAGCACACCTTCCTCCCAACCCATTCCATCTTCCTGAGATCCAGTAGGTAGTTAAATCAAACCAAGAGGATGTCAGCCCTGGGAAGGAGATCTGACATTCTGTAATGACACACTGAGTGGGGCAGCAAGATTTTTGCTATTAGCTTCTGCCACATTATTAAAAAAAAGACCAAAATTAATTAACGTGTATGAGAGGAGTAATCTGCTGTTGCCTTCTTTGTATGTTTTCTGTGGTGCCACTTAAAGCAGAGGCTGACACTCAGGTCTGATGCATGTGTGAGTAAAAACAGTAGTTCTTATTTTCTCCTTGTTCTGGCTCCAGGTAACCAATGAAAAATCATAAAATGAAAATTTTACTCATGCAAGAATATGTAACACCAGAATGATGTTCCTGTTCCAGACACCATTCTCTCCATACTTCTGTTTAACTATCATGTACAAAGATGTTTTTCACACAGAAAATATTCAATACCATTTTAACTTACTTTCCACCCACTTTGCAACAGTACTGTGGAACTCTACAACCATCCTCTCAATTTCAATAAATCTGCTGGAAGTTTCCTATCAGTATCTTAAGAACACACCAGTCTGTACAGACAGAAGAGAAAGCTTGTCACAATCCACTCTATGGACTGCTCACCCAAACACCAAATTTTTTTTGTTTCAAGTTTACAGGTGTAATTTATGGCACTCAGTTTCCACATTTCATGAGAAAACTCACTTCTCCCACATTTTTGTAAATGCATTTTCACTTATTCCAGTCACTGCACATATTGCCTGCAATAAATAGAATACACAGAAGCCCAGGTGCAGGAGAGAACTGCTCCTGTCCCATCCTGGCACTGCAGCACCATGGCCAGGAACAGCCACCTGAGGAGGGGTAACCAGCACAGCCCTGCTGACTCTGACAGTTCCCATCGAGCTGTGGGCCTGCTGCCAGCAGAGCTTTGATCAGGATGAGCACCAGAAGAAGCACCACATTTAAAACATCTTTTGTTCACTACAAGACATAGCTAAAAAAATTAAACTACCTGATGTTTTCTACTCCACGCCAATTAAACCAACACAAAAAAATGCAACAAAATTAGTCTACAACACTTACATTTACCATTTCACTCCTCTAAGGAAAAGCTCTGCACTTCTGATGTAAGCCAGGATAAAGCCATTTCATCACAGCACAGGTTTTTATTAGCTGGTTCCCACCTGATGGGCACAGCAGCCCTCTCACAACAAAACCAGCAACAGAAAATCCTTACTGGAAGCTCAGAAACATGTTTACTTTATATACAAGAAAAACATATTTACAACAAGTAAACTATGTACAAAAAAAAAAACCCCAAGAGACATTTCCATGGTAATCACTGTATAAATTAACAAAATAAATAGGAGGGAAGCAGGTCCCATTCTTAAGGCACAAAACCTTCTTCCCAAGACTGTACAGGGATTCACTTGCTTCCCAATGCTTTTGACAGGATCGCAGGAATGGTGGGGAGACCCCTGAGGAACAACAGTTTGGTGGACAATGATATAGACATGCAGTCACTGCTGACAGTTGTAGAAAAACATCATTTTTCATACTTTCCTTTTTTTTTACAGTACACACATCTTAAGATACAAAATATGTCTTGTAAACAGTCTGTTTTATAAATCACATCGCTATTATGCACATTTTTAAATAACACTACAACAATGATTGAAGCTTTCCATACAATTTGGGTGCAGAAGCAGACATAGCACTGGCACTGAAGGCCTCAGCAGAGCTGGAGGCTCCCAGGTGCCAGGCCAGCACCTCCAGGCACCCAGTGGCACAGCTCCCCTTGGCCACTGTGCTGGCTCCTGCCAACATCCCACAAGGTACAAAAGAGAGGCTGTACCAGCCCTCCCGAGGCAGGGCACTGCAAACAGCCAAGCCTCCCCTCCAGTCTCCACTGCACACAATCTCACTTAGCCCCAGCCATCATTCCAAAATCTGCCATTAAATATCCAGGATGTTGCCAGAATGTGAGAGAATGGACTGAAGCCTCTTCCAAGCAGAAGAAACCCCATGCCCAGCTCACTGCAGCCACTGCCAGGGGTGAGGGGTGTGAACAGAAGGTGCCACATGGCTTTCACAGGAGTTGCATTTCTTCAGGGACTAAACACCTGTGTGATATGTGCAGTTCTAGCTTCTCCCAGGCTGGTGCTCCTGAGACTGCTGGACAGTCTCTTTTTGGCAAAGCAGCATTTTTTACTAACTGTCTTTCCTGAGTTTTTCTCCCACAAAAAATTATCAGATGTCAGAAGAAAAACTCAGAATAGGCCAGGAGTTCTACCTGGCTCCCTGCTTTGCAGATAGAGCTCACTGACGTTCAACACAAACTGTCTTCATCTCTTCACAAAAATCTCACCAACAAAAATCTGCACTGTTCCCAGTGAGACACACAGAACTACAACCCTTTGGGGTTTCCTAGATCTAAACCTTAATAAATATCCAAAGGCACTCAGGTTAAATGTGGATCCCATTTTCTAGGTCTTAGAAGAAGGAAGAACTCCCTTCCTGCCTCAGCTAAGTAAGGCAGGAATACAGTGGCTGTCAACCCATTGATATGCACGTGCACAAAAAGGATCTGAAGGCTTTGACACGCAGATCAGAAAAGCAAAAGAAATGAAGATGCATCTGTTCAGGCCTCATCACTCATGCAAATGGCTAGTGGCTATCAGATCTTGATAGATATGGCATGAACTAAGGAACACACCTGAATGTAAAAACTCTTTGGATTCTTCTGTTGCTCTGGGCAGGAAGAGCAGAGAGGAGCTGTTTCTATGAAAGCAAGAATTTAATCCCTCAAGAATTATGCAAGGCAAGAGCTTATTGTTTATGCATCTTTAACCATGAGGCTGCTGGGGAAAGTCCACAGAACAGCTCCTTCACTGCATATAGGAACAAACACAGATCTCACCTGTTCTCCAGAGTGATCACCTGCCTCACCCCCTGCTGCACTCTCCTGGGAAGGCACATGGATGTCCCAGCCACGCACAGTTCTGGGACAGACAGTGGGATGCACACACTGTGAGGTCACTGCACACCACCACTGGGGATGGCTGCATCCTGGGGCTCTCCTGAAGAGACTTCTCCTCATTTTCATCCAGATGCTGCTCTATGCCTCAACAAGCAAGTGGGACAATACACTATGCTTGCAATTCTTATCTGATTCTTCAGGAATTTAATATGGTTAGAGGGAGTCTGTACTGATAAATAATAAATACAGCTATGGAAGCAACTGCCAACATACACATAGAAGAAATACATTCAGGGCAAGGCTGGACATATTTCCTGCTCAGGCCCCACAGTATTTATACTGTGTTTCTAACTGGATCAAGCACTTTTACTCTTCTTTTACCTTCTCATGAGTTTTAACACAAACCCTGTCACTTGCCAGGCTGAGAGGAGACACATGGGTGAATGTGTCTGGTTAGAACAGACAGGCAGAGTCAGAATAACCCTTGGTGAAATACTAGGGAATCCAATGGAGTTTGCCCAGCTGAAACAAAATCAGCCCAGAGCCTTTATAAGCTGACAAATCTTTACTTGCTAACTTGACTGATTGTTATTAGACTAGAGAAGTGATATCAATTTGATAAAAATCCTTACAAGTAAAAAAATAATTATGTCCTCAGCAAATAATCTTTTATGCCACTGTGTATACAGGCTTTTCTGTCTGCAGCCATAGTCAGACAGGTGCCACTCTGTAATAATAAAAAAAAATTAAATACATACAGAGAAAATGACAGAGTAATTAATAATTTCTGCTGTCTCTCAAGTTTTACAGCACTGACTGTTGCCAAATTCCCTTTGCAGTGACAAACATGGTGATATAACTACGCATGCTGGTCCTGGGCTTTAACAGCCACCCAACTGAGGTCAGCCATCTAGAAACTCTGATTCAGAGGCACTAATTTTTCCATGCTCCACTGTTGCTGGTACCAAAAGCAATTTATCAACATATTCCAGTTTTCATTATAATGCTCATTTGCTTGGTAACAATCCTCCTCCTCTCAGTGCTCTTACAGGAGCCCCAGTGTTTGACAGCATAAGGAACTTTTTAGGAGTACAGCCCAGGAGAACTGAGCTACTCTAATCTTTTGTATCACCCTGGAGTGAAGGAGCAAGGCAGCAAGAAAGAGAAGCAAGGTGGAAAAGCTACTGAAACCTAGACAGGTGAAAAGATACAAGTACTAGACTTAAATTGCATATTTTGTGACAGAAATAGTTTTCTACACTGCAAGCTGAAGGAAACAGCTCTCGTGTTTGTGGCCACAGAAGTGGTACCAAACAGGTAGGGAGCTACACCTGGCCATTGCCAGTCATGCTGCTCCCTCCCCCAAGATGAAGCAAGCTGTCCTGTACCACCCTTCTTGTGCAGCACAAACAGCTCATTAGCTTTCCTCTCCCTTTTATCTGGTCTCCCAAAGATGAATTCAGAAGAAGGAATGTCAGAGCTGATCTCCTGTAACCATTTGGCTTTCCAGATTTTCTTTTCTTACTGCCAGGAATTTCTGAACAATTGTCTGTGATGACTAGCACCACATTTTTTGTGAAAACCTAAAGGTTGTACCATTGCCCCTGGCTGGTAGAGGAGAGCAGGCCCAGCAGAAGGTCCTGCCAGCTGGTGCAAACCCTGTCTGAAGCACATGCACTGTTTGTTGCAAAAGCATGAGTGAATGAGAATCACTTGATATTCATTGGAAGAGGTCTGCACTGGCTTTGAATTTCAGATGCAAATTACACACAACTACAGATGCATTAAAAAGGGAATAGTAAGATCAAAGGAGAGGTTTTGTCCCACTTAAATATGCTAAATACAGGTGTGACACATGGATGAGCAGGAAACTTTTGGGTCTGAAAAGACTGTCAGATGCTCCTGAATTAAGACTGGCCAATATATCTTTTGCCCTGAATGATTCTACTGTGATGAAGTTATCCAGTAAAGGTATCTGTGTTGCAGTTCTCAGGAGTCCTGCACTGTCCCTGGAACCAGAACTTCCCACGACACAGGACATGGCTCTTCAAACAGTGAGTGAGTTCTCTCCAGGAGGCTCTGCCAACCGCAGAGGAAGTGCCTCTCCAAAGGATGCAGCCATACCCCACAGGAAAAAAGTAGCACCATGCTTGGTTGATATGAGCTCTGAACAGCTAAAATTTGGCTGTTCAGCAGAGACAGTTGTGAGCACATCTGCTTTGTGAGGTGACTGCTGTGCAGTTAGGGAGAATGGTAGACACAGGCTGTGAAAACAGAGGCTAAGCCTCGCTGGCAGGAGTACTCCGGCTCAGCTCCTTGATCCCGTGCAGTATCCTCTTCATGTGACCCACTTTGGTCACACCCAGGTCCTGGAAGAAAAAAGAAAACCTTACACTAAGAGAAAGGCAGAAGGAAACTCCAGGTGGCCAAGCAGCTGTTACAAACTAGTCAGCCAGTTACAAAGAGAGGAGGAAACCAACCAGAAAAAATCCAAACCTAAGTGTTATATACGGAACCTCAAACCACATGTCAAAAAGCTACTAAGGAATGCAGAGTGGGCACAGAGCAATGCACAGAAACAACTGCAGACTGTTAGCCAGAAACACAAATTGTTTTGGCTGTCAAAGGCTGTGAGAACAGAAAGAGCACACAGATGTCAAGGACCAATCTAGAAGCCAAAACATGCAAGAGGAACTAACCAGTCACATCTGATAGCTGGGTACCATGCAACAAACACAGGCTGTAGGTGGATGACATGCACAGGGGTCAGTTACACAGGTTACAGCAAACCCCACCATGGGAAGATGGTAAAAATTATAAATAAAGGTTCAAGGGGCATCGAACAAATGCCACTACTTCAAAAAAACTTGTGTTTTCCTGCTCTATGCAAGTCACCAGAATGATGACACAAGTCTCTTGCACATGCAAAGAGCCACCACTTTCAATTTCTCTCAGTAGAAACAACGTCTCCTGGTGAGGAGACAAAAAGTTGTGCAATGTGACT